AACACTGTTAGATAGGTCGAGATAAGTATCAATTTGGGTGAAGAGAATGGCAGTGTACCAAATGTGAGTGATCAACATGGTGGCATTGAGGAAGAGGAAGACAGAGAGAGAGGTACGTGGCAGGTGCAGACAACAAAGATGAACCCTTTTGTATATATAGTACTGCATTGTCAGTGAAGGCAAAAATGGGTATACGAGTGGATAAATGGGTGGACAGGCTGAACTATTAGGTATGTCTGTGCAGCAGGGAGTGTACTCAAGACCATGTGTAGGGTGGTTCTACAACTATATTTGTATGTTCTATAAGAATTCCCAGGGGTATAGTAGAGCTGACAAGGGACAAGGTTGTAGTCACTTCTTGGTCACAGCCAGCTATCCAGAGTGACCAAGTAGTTGAACGTGTGGGCTCAGGACCATAGTCGCAGGGGACATCAAGCTCAATTAGCATAACATGCTGCACAAAACATTGTTCCACCTCCTACTTTGGCGAGTAACGACTGGGATCTTAAAAGCTTGCAAGCAGCCATCTAGATGTGACGATGGGTCTCTCCTTGTCGAAAGAAGAATGAAGACGACCAAAGATTCATGGAAACAATTAGTCCTCGCGACTGGTACACCATGCAGTCCTCAGCCTACATGACTATGAGATCAGAAGAACTAAATGGTGCCCAGCTACCACTGTCAGCCACTCAGAGGGGTATTTATGTAGGAGATCCTGGATAGAGGGGAGAACAATATGGAACAAAACGCAAAATCATTTGGAGAAAATAAAAAAGGAGGACCACATTTGCTGCTCTGATAGAGCCTGGTGGAACCACTGAGGCTATGGTCCCTAGATGCCCTTCAAGTCTGGAATTGAACCCACACCTGTGCCTTCCAGCCAACAAAAGACAGGCATGAGTTGAACATTTACCTGAGGTAGATACACTCCTTGGAGAGAACAATCATGGGAGAAAGAAGGGTTGTTTATGCACGGGGTGGGGTGGGGGGGGGAGGAGTGCATGGAGGGATGGACACAGGGAAGAGGTTAACTATCGGGAGGAAGTGGGAGGGGAGCTGTTGCACTGGGGTAAACTGTAGTCAATGTCATGAGACGTGTATGTGAACTGCTGTATGGAAATTGAATTTACTCTGTAAACTTTCACCCGAATCACAATTTAAAAAAAAAAAAAAAAAGCTGGATGTATTTCCCTGGCAGGTGCTAAAATTTGAGTTGCTGAACTTTGGTTTGATTTTATACTTCCCTTCCCCTAGAGCAGTAGAACTTCTTTTGGTTTGAAAGAGACAAAAGGTTACAGGGAGCCTAGCTACTGCTTGGAATCAGAATGGAGGGCTAAACCAAAACCAAACTTGTTGGCAACATGTTGATTACAACTCATGGTGACTCTACAGGACAGTAGAAATGCCTCATAGGGTTTCCTAGGCTGTAATCTTTACAAAAGTAAACTGCTATATCTTTCTCCTGCAGAACTGCTGGTGGGTTCAAACTGCCAACCTTTTGATTAACAGCCGAGTGCTTAACCACCATGGCCCCTTGAAGGAGGAACAGGGGTAATGGCATCTGGCTTTATCACACTGGAAGTTGACCTCAACAACCAGGATCAAGTCACTTCTTTAAAGCCTCCTTTAAAGCTTAGACACTAAAGACTTACCGCAAATCTTTTCCATCTTAATTCATGTTTCTATGGCATTTGTTATGGTATAATTTTTTCTGCCACTCCTACAGCCTATGATCTTTGGATACTCAGTATCTAGTAAAATTCCTGACATACAACAGTTTATAGAGGATGGATCTGAAGAAGAGCATTTTCTCAGGTATTCATTCAGTGGCTGACAAGGAAGGAGACTTGTTTTGGTTACCTCTAGGAGCTCTGGTAGCATAGTGGCTAAGGCACTTGACTGCTACCCAGAAGGCTGGTGGTTCAAACCCACCAGCCACTCCTCAGAAGGAAGGTTGGGCAACCTACTTCCGTAGTGATACTGCCTCGGAAAACCAAGGAGGAGCCGCTATGAGTCGGGTTCGACTCGACAACACTGCCGCTCTAACAGAAAATACAGGTGGATGGCTTTAACAAACAGGAGTTTGTTTCTCTTATAGTTTGAGAGGCTAAAAGTCCAAGTTCAAAGTACCAAGCTCTAGGGGCTAGGTGAAAGCACCTTGACCTTGCGCTTCAGCTCTACATCTTGCTTCTAGCCCACTGGAGCTAGAGGTGTCTCTTCACTCAAATAGTTGCTGGATACTGAGGCTAACAAGTCCAAGGTCGACAAAATGGCAGTCCTAGCCACTCCTCGGAAGGAAGGTTGGGCAATCCTACTTCCGTAGTGATAACTGCCTCGGAAACCCAAGGAGGGGTCGCTATGAGTCGGGGCCGACTCGACGGCACATAACAACAACAACAACAACAACAGTATTACCAAACAACACGGCAGGCCACTAGTTCAAATCCAGAGATAGTCCCAAAATCGGCAGGAAACGTGGCAAGCTGCTACATGAAGACTCGGCTACATGCAGAGTCCAAGTTGCCAAAAAGCTGTCAAGACCTTTCTCAAAATTTACCCTTATGTACTGGAAGCAGACCAAATCCCTAAGGTAACTACTCAGCTGCACCAGTAGATTCCACCACAGACTTAATTACCGATCTCATCATGGAGAATCACTCCATCCAGCTGCCCACCCACTCAAAACCAGGCTGAGCTAAGTTGACACATAACCTTAACTACCATTCTAAGACGACTTGGGCTCCAACTTCCATTTTTCGGAGTCTCGTAACTAGTATGGTAAGAAAGCTCATGTTAATTGAGGACTTGCAAAGAGCTGATTTTCCTGAACCCAGGCCCATGTTAAAATGGGGACAACATGCTTGTCCTTAGATTACAGAACAAAGTAACAAAGTATACAACCAGCACAATACTTCTGCAGATGCTCCTTATTTGGCAGACACAGTCTGCAGCAGGTTTGAGAAAGCAAGTCTGGTTTGATCTGAGTAGCTTACGTGGCAGGGGTAGTTAGCATTTTAATGCCCAAGGGAAATGAAAGGTTCAAGAGGCAATGCACTTTAAATAGAAGCTAAGTCAATTAGCTTTTTGAGCATGTAGGAGTTTCTGAAGGCTAAGGATTAATGTTTCAACACAGAGGCACTTTACACCATTTCTTTCTTTGACTAAGGCCTAAAACTATCCAGAAAGATTGTTTTACCATCTTGTCTAAGACTATTTGACTCACTGCTATTGAGTCGACTCCAATTCATAGCAACCCCTCTGGGTTTCCAAGCAGTATCACTATGGAAGTGGACTGCCCAGTCTTCCTTTCCAGGAGTGCCTGGTGGTTCTGGTTAGCAGTCAAAATGCCTTAGGCACTGTGCCACCAGAGCCCTCACCCCCACCCAGGTAAAGAAAGTGGGAGACCAAGGATTTAAATTATCTACTTGCTTGAGCTTAACAAATCGATAACCCCAGTAGTACTAAGAACCATATTCCATACACGGCGATAATGTGGGTGTTCTGGGTATAAAACACACCAACAGGCCTTAACTCACCAATGCCAAGGATGTCATTTACCTGTCACAATTATCTCAAGTACCTATTATACTGCTGGCATGTAGCAGGAACTCTACAAAAAGTTAGTGAATGAGGCAAAAAATATTACTCTTTACTGTTTTATGACAGTGCAGTCTCTTAAGTGACAAAAGACTCAACATCTATAAAATCACAATCCATACTTAACAAGGTGTCACACATTACCCAATTCATTTATTTAATATTTACTGGGCAAACGTGAAAAAGTATTCTAGATAATTGAGACTACTGGTGAGCAAAAGAAAAATCACTACCCACAGGGAGCTCATTTTATTTCAACAGGCACACATAAGCAAATGATGTTAGAAAAGAATACATGCTGTCACAGATGTAAAATAGCAGGGTAGAGGACTCAGGTTGTGTATGTATTTCTAAATACGTTAGTGTGGTGAATTGCTTGATGTGGCCCTTCTAGCCATTGTTCTCCATTCTGTAATGTGTTGTAAATCCTATTATCCATGCCTGTTTGGAGTGGTGTGGTCGTTAAGGTCGAGTGTCAACTTGGCTGGGCAGCTGGTAGTAGTCATTCCCTATAATGACTGTCAGTTGGCTCTGTGGTGGGATTTGCCTTGAGCTGCTGATTATTAAAGCCATCCACTTGAGTTATTGCTGTTGCAGCAATGCAGATGGAATGCATTTTGCATCCTGCCTTGCTGGAGGGTGTAATTCAAATCTTCACCCTTAGCTTCCTTGAGGGTGTGCCTATGAATCTCCTGGGAAGGTTCACCCTTCTCTTGCTCCTGTTCTATGTTTTGGCTCATCCTCATCTCACCCCTGGATTTGGGACAGCAGCCGTCATCTCATCTGCTGATCGAGGTTCATCAAACCCCGATAACTGGGAGGATTCTCCAGACCCACTCACAGACCTGGGACTCGCCAGCCGGCCATCCTCCACCACTACTATGTGAGACAATCCCTTGGGTGTCTGTGAGTTCTGTGAGGCATTACAGCGAAATACAGAACCCTGAAACGGGGGAAATTACTGGGAGAAGGAGAAGGGGGAGGAGTTAATGTCTGAAATGATGGAGTGGCACGGTAGTTTGGACATTTGGGACATCTTTAACCTCCGCCTCATGGGGACCAGCCTTGTGGTGATCTTTCTGAGCGAAATTATTCAAGCAGTTAGGAGAGGTACTGTTGAACCAGAACACTTCTAAACAAAGCATTAACCATTTGGCTGTCTGATGGAGGAAGGATATTGCAAAGGCACTGGAGTAGGGGGAGGGAACGGAGGGAGTCCTGTAGGGCTTTGTAGGTGATTGCAGTGACTTTTTACCCAGTCATAAAGCAGATTGATTTTACCCATGGCTTACAGTCAGAAATAAAACAGGGGATTTATCAGAGTTAAAAAGAAATCTCAAAGAATTAAAGACCATCTTATTGGCTGTGGAAGCCCACCAAAGACTACTGTGACTACATCCAAGCAAGTTTGAAATATTTTATTTTATTCATACAGTATGAAGTTTTCTAAAGATCCCACAACATGATGTATCATGCAAAAGGAAAACTAAACATTCAACATAAACCACCCCCTCCCCCATCCCCACACACACAAACTTAAAAAAAAAAAAAAACCCTCATTCCCCAGTAAAGAAATAATGTTTGCACTATTTTCTGTAACGCCAGCCAAGATATGCACAAGCAAGAGAAATAGAAAGCATTTGCTAAAATATTTGTAACAAATACTTATATACAAAAAAATTCACAAAAGACTAGTTCCCCCTTGAAGCAGAGCACATGGCAGTTGACACTGGAACAGATCAAACCACTGGCTGGGATTATAAGCCACGTACTGATCCAGAGGAAGAAAGATACATGTAGTGGAGATTTTCAGTTTTAACGTTAACATTTCCAAAGTTTGGCAACATTATCTTTTTAAATTATGCAAATTATGTAAACAAGAGGTACATTTTAAATCGATCTACATGCAAAACTCCATGTCATGCAAGGACACCAAGCACCGGGATTTTTCTCTCACAGACAGAGCCCATGATGTGCAGCACTCAGTTGAAGGAACAGCGATGGCAGGCAGGTGTGCTCCATTTAAGATTCATTCACCTTGACGCAACCTGCTCTTTTCCACTCATTAGAAAACCAGTTTTTATTCAAAAACTGCGTAGGGAAAGCTAACAAAAATATTTTTCTTCCAGCCAAATAGTACCTTTGCAGAAAAGGGAAAGGATAATATCAAGTGGTGGAACATGATACACTACTTTTATATCACACAAATTTATTTAAGTTAGAATCCATTATAAATTACATGGGCAAATCAAGAAAGAAAATCATCATGTACTCTCTATGCCTTGTGGTAATTTAAAAGGCATAAATTTGGATAAAATTTTGCTCTTCTGTGGCAGATTAGCAAGATTTTCCCCATTCAAATCACAAATGTGTGGGTGTTGAGATAAATACAAGCACACATTAAATATCACCAGTTATTTAGAATAGTGGCAAATCTTTTGAAACACCAAAAGGAAATTTATGGTTTAAACATGAGTTTAATGACAACTTATTTAACCATATAATGAAACAAACGAATATTCTAGAATTAGTTACATGATGGCTTCAGGTACTCCTCATTCAGTAAAAGATAAATCATGGTTGCCTCACACAGCTTGCAGCCTTCACACAGAAAACAGTCATCACAACTGATAACTTACATTTACTCAGGGACATTTAATAAATGTAATGGCTCCTACTTATGAAGTAACAGAATAAAGCAGCCATAAGCATGGTGCAGTCACTATATGAACACAAGAACTAGCTCTTGGCAATAGCACTGAACTATACGTTCTCCTCAAGCAGAGATATATTAAAAAGCTGCTGCTCAGCAATGAGACGTAATAACTGGAAATATATTCATAGGTATAAAGTTAGACTCCTTTGTTACAAAATAAGGTAATTAAGGTAAATAATAGGACATTAACAAATGCTTTTGTCAATCTCTCAAAAGAGAAAGCACAGGAAAAGGAAAAATAGCTGGCCTGACACCCGGCTCAAATTGTACAATCTTCTATCTATATAAAAACTGTGTGAAATAAAAGTAAGGATGTATATATCCATGTTTTTGAACGTTTTATGTTCTGCTTGGCACTTTTGTACTCTTTTATCATTTTGTTTTTGAATCAAGTATGTTAAATTAAAGCCAACCTACTACATATATAGAAAGCTACATATATCTATATATAAATATTTACATATGTATATATAGATACTTTCTTGTTATAAAAGATGAAGAAAAATAAATTAAAAAGCCAACCCCTTCCCTTTCTCCACCACATTGATATGCTCTTTTCATCTTGCTGTCCTTCAGACTTTAAAGTGCTACACTGAGTTATTGAGAGAATAAGAGTTCAATAACACTTAGTTGGCTTCATGAGGCTCATGTTGGAAAATGTGGCTTCACAGAGAAAAATACTTCCATTTAAATACACAGAGAGCATTGCTGGACGTCTTGAGCAGATCTTCAGAGATGGAGAAGAAAGCAAAAGTGTTGGGTAGTACTCTTTTTAAAAAAAGAGTCACACATCTACCACCATCTTTTTGTGGATATCTAGGCCACCTACAACCTGCAACAGATGGAAACAAATTAAGCTTAGCAGTATCTGAGAAATTTCTTTTTACTAGTCTAACAGCATGACTAAAAACTGTTCTTTAAAAAATATACTACTGTAAGAATTTTCAGAAGCTGGATTTTAAAAAAAAAGTAAACAAAAAACACTTGAGTTGTTTGCAGTTAGAATTTTCATGGCTTCTTTCTCACAAGGTAACAAGGATTTAATTTTTGCACTCTATACAGGTCAGCAAACTTCTACAAAGGACCAAAGGAGTAAATATTTTAGGTTTTGTGGGCAAACTTCTACAAAGGACCAAAGAGTAAATATTTTAGGTTTTGTGGGCTAAATACGGCTTCACTTGCATTTTCTTTTTTTTTTAACAACTTTTTTAAAATGTAAAAACTATTCTGAGCTCAAAGACATACAAAAACAGGCCACGGACAAGATCCAGCCTGCTCTATAGTGCCAATCCTGCTCTAGTTCTTACATTTTAAATGATACCAGATGTTACTATATAGTTGTCTTCAAAAATCAAATATGGGCATTGTCAGTCTATTCTAGAAGGTATTAAGTACCAAATGAATTTTTTTTAAATTACTTTTCTAGAGAATTAGTTACATGTAGAGTTGTTATAGGCAACTCAGTGAATGTTAGTAGAATCATCATCTACACTGTTATTTCAGGAAGATAAATTTTATTATGTATAACCTACATAAAGTGCACAAATTTTCACAAAGTGAACACATGAGTAACCAGCATCCAGACTATTACCAGCACTCTCTTCTGGCCCTTTCCAGGCACTTGCCATCTGCTACACCCTCACACTCCCCGCCCCACCCCCACCCAACACACAAGAGGTAGCTACTTCTAATACCACAGATTAGTTTTGTACATTTTATAAATAGAATCTCCTTTATGTTTTCACTCAACATTTCATTTTTGAGATTCACCTATGTCGTTAGTAGCATCTGTATTATTTTCTAATTCAAATCTTTTTTTTTTTTTTACTTTTTATTTGAAAAATAAAGCTCAAAGAGTCAATCAGTTCTACAAGTCTTACTACAAAAACAGCAGTTGGCAACCACACCCTCATTCTCTAGTTCCTTCTACCCAGAAGCAATCACTTAGAATTTTCAACTTACTTTCAACATTTACCTCCAGGTTTCCAAATATCACTCCTACATTACTTGCTCTTCAGTTTCAGACATGATCCACTGATGCCCACCGTGGAAGATGACGATTGAGCTCTTTCATACAAACCTCTCCCCTTCTTATCTCCCAGTCCATTGACTTTCCATCCCCCTTTCCCCTTCCAATATATTTACAGGCTCATTTTGATTAGACAGAAATTCAGCATTTTACATTATTATGACTTATAAAATACTATTTATGGCAGCACATGGTTGCACACTATGATCTTCTTTTCCCACCCATTTGTTTTGTTCAGGGCTTCTAACTGGTTGAAACTGGTTCAGTCATGGCCCATGAAATAAAACCAGAATAAACCTGAATTTTTTAAAATTTGAGTGAGCTGGAAAGATAACTGGAATTGGGGGGGCGGGGTCAAAGCCCTGGAATGGATGACTTGGAAGAGGCCTAGTGAGCCCTTTCAGGAGCCCAATGTAGGAGACTGGATTATTGGCAAAACTGCAGAGCCACACACATTCAGAGCAGTGCAGATGGCCACCATCTCTGAGCTGGGTGCCAGTTTTTCCCACTCTGTGGGCAAGAGATTTGGTTGTTATGCAATACTTATGTTGCCCTAAGAGGGAGAATAAGTTTCTAACAGGGCTGTGACCCATAATTTTTCCGTTCTTATTCTCTCTCTAGTTCATCCATATTTTAAAAATTCAGCTCTGTTCTAAGGTCACTTCCTTAGCCATGACTGAAATGGTTCAAAGCCCTAGTTCAATTACAGTTAGTAACTGTCTCATCTTTTCCTTTGTAGGTTGTTCTGTTTTTCATTAATTCCACCCCACTTTTGTCTTTCTAAATACATTCAGATGTACTAGGTAATTCTATCAATTTTATTGTCTTGAAGACATCATTCTCAGACTTCCAATCTGAGCTAAACTAGACTCTGCACCCCCCAGGCCTGCTACCCTGGAGATTTTCTCTTCTCCTCTCTCATGTCAGGGCCTCTGCTTCCTGGATCATCTTTTCTGATTTACAACCTTACCACAGTGAGAATATATCCTCCAGCAGTTTGTAAAAAAGGGAGACCTTACATACCTAAAAATGTCTTTCTTCCACAATTAAGTTTGATAGTTTATAGAGTTAGAAATAAATTTCCCTCAGAATTCTAAAGGCAAATGCTCTATTGTATTCTCGTTTCCAACTATCCTATGGAGAAATCTGGTGCCATTGTAAGTCCTGAGTCTTTGTATGAATGACTCCCTTGATGTATTCTCAGCACTGCTCTTTAGAAAATGGTAGAACCATCTTTTTGTTCCCACGGTTTTAAAATTTCTTGACAATGTACTTTTTTTTATATATACTATATGCTGGATACTCAGTGTGTTCAATCTGGAAACTCATTTCACTTGGTTGAGGTAATTTTTTGAATCATCTTTGCTGATTTTCTTCTTTGCATTTTCTTTCTGGAACACCTGTCATTCAAATGTTAGACCTCTTAGACTGGATCTCTTAAATTTAATTTCCAAGAGCTCTTTTATGTATTATCCAGTTTTTGTTTCACAGATTCAATATATTCTATCCCTGAAGATAATAATGATAGGCTTTTGTTTTGCTCTGAAAGTTTTTATTTGCCTTACATAGCCCATTTTTTAATTTTTTTCCCCCTAATTTTCATCTCTATATTCTGTATTTAAGGTTTTCCACAAATGTCTGGTGATCGGTGGCTCTCTGCTCCTGTGAAAAGGGCACAGTTATCTCTGTGTATGGTGGGACTGCCGACCCGGGATACACTTTGGGTGATCTGGTGGGACCACTTCTATGGGGAGATCAGATTACCACAGAAGGCTCTTCTAATTTCTTGCCTGGCAAGTTTGTCTAGCTGTCAGGAGTTCACGTCAAGGAAGAAGGCTGGAGGTGTCAACATGCAAATATGTATACATCCACTTAACTCCCTGGTATACTACACAACTCTGCCTCCTATTTCCTAGCCTAGAGATTATTTTACCTGTCCCAATCTTCTACTATGGTGCAGGAGACACAGTTGTCCAGTTGAACCAAGTAAGGAAGGAGATCTGCTTCTTAAACAGATTTTAAGCCAATCCAGTTTTCAGCCTCACTTTCATCCTCACTTCAAGTTATCTTGTGCCACCACAATTTCTGAGCCTTCCAGGTATTCTGCATTATAAACCAGGCTGCTTCTCAGCTTCCAAAGCTGATAGCTTAGGAACTCTCCTGTCTGCTAAATTGGTTAACCATTAACCTTCGTAAACTACACCAAGATGTACTTGCTGTTTCCACTGTTGTCAGTTCATAATCTTTTCTTTTTAATTCATTTAATTGTACTGGGGTTTGGGGAGGAAGTAAAATTAAACACATATGTTTAATCCATCAAGTTTAATCCTGTCACTAATAATTTACAAGATTTATTTATGTATGTTAAATACACTGATATTTTTTACTAATTATATAGTATGTGGAGTGCCTGGGCAATGCAATGTTTAATGCTCAGATGTTAACTGAAATGTTTGAGTTTTGAGTTAAATGTTTGAGGTTTGAGTTTATCCAGAGGTACCCTGGAAGAAAAGTCTGAAGTAATCTATTTCTGAAAAGCTAGCCACTAAGAACCCTATGGAATACAGTTCTACTCTGACATATGGGGTCACCATGAGTTGGTACTGACTCCACACCAACTGACTTATACAGTATGTAATTATTTAAAACAACTTTCTCACTGTTGTACCTGCAAAAATTTCTTACTATATTCTCTGGCTTGACGTGTCAGAATAAAAAGACTCAATGAAAGCCAAAGTTATGAGCTTGATCAGTGCTTAGGTTTCCACCCCAGTTAGATTTCTGGGACCCTCTATAACTATAGGCCCTGCTTCTAAACAGGGCCCGTGCCCCAGAACACAAGAACTATCCATCAACAGCATGAAAAAGGTGAGGAAAAAAATCATCCTTTACACTAGCTAGCAGGTGTGTTTACATGTATAGGGACTTCTCATCTTTGCTGTCCCCATGCGGCCAAGTTTCTGGTATCCCTAGCTGAAACTCATGTACACAGAGGTCCCACAGAAGTATTTTTAAACATGTTTATTTTAAAATGAACCTTAAGAATATAACTCATTTGTAATATGTGGGACTACCAATACAACGGCACATAACAACAACAACAACAACCAATAGTAAGTGAAAGTGACAAGTATCATTTTTGTGCCATTTTATCAGACTGAGATAATTAGTTTTTGAGAAGAATTACTGTTAATTATTTACAACCACAACAAAAAACTGTGAATATGGGATAATCAGGAAAAATATATATTTTTTATGGCAAAATACTTATAAGAATTTCTCTATTAAGTGGCTTTTAAAATATCTTTTTAATTTTGTCATAATTAATGACAAACCAGCTCTTTTCCACTTACAGCACAGAACTCTTCAAAGGATATTCTTCCATCCCCATCCTTATCTGCATTTATTATGGTTTTGTCTACAATTTGCTGTAACTGTGTATCTTTCAGATTGTTCCCCACCATCATCTTCAGCACCTGGAAGAGTTCCCCATTGGAAATATAGCCATCTTTATCCATGTCATAGATACGGAAAGCAACTAAAAAAAAGCAAGGATAATCAATAATAATTACAAGATAGTCACAAATTATTTTCAGTGAGACAGAAAACAATAAATTGAATCGTGACTGACTATAAGGATGGCTCCTCCCTAAATAAAGATGTCATTCTTAGGAGTAGTTTAACATAGTAGCATGTATTGCATGTATTTATAAGCATACATAGTAAATAAAAATATGCTCCCTCACCCCTCAAAACCTCAGTAGAAGATTATTATTCTCATTTATATCAAGACTTTATCTATATATACTTTTAGCCTCAGAGAACTTTTACTGAATAAATGTCTTTCCAGGTAGAAGTTCAACAGTAAAAAGATACTAAAATTCAGGCTGCCTACATAAAACAAGTATTGAACTTATGGCTAAATATATCTGAATAAAGCAATGGATATTATTACTAAGTTAACCTAATCACATTATAACATTTCTCACCACTTTCATATTAAAATCTCTTATATAAGTCATATATGTATTTCATACAGCTATTTTCAGTAGAAGAAAATTCTATTTTTCTTCTATTTAACAAACAGAAACAATGACATTATTAAAAATACTATTTGCAAGTATCCCAAAAGGATTTTCACCAGAATATTAAAATTTGTTATGTCTACTAAATATCTGGAATAAAAGACAACTTCTAGAATATTTTAAAATAAGATTATAATGCAGTAATGGCGGTGGTCTAAGGGGAAAGATGAATTTAGTAAAGAAAAATACTTACACCTCAACTTCTGCTCCTTATCTCCTTTGACACTGAATTGAGAGACTCCCTCAATGAATTCTAAGAGCAGAAAATGTTTACATATCAGAAGTTTCACTGTGTTACACAGAAACAACAAAGTTTTCCCTACATGCCTTCAAAAGGATACTCTGTTACCACAAAAGAAAACTACTACTAGCAGTGTTTAAAATGGAAAATGTCAAATTTTAAACCTTTAATAAACATCTATACATTTTTTTAATTTGAACTTGGAGCTAAGGTCAAATAATTTGAGTAAATATTTATTAAGGACAGCAGAGCCTATCACCCCAAAAAATCCACATTTTTAAAACAATTTAACTTTTCAGAATATGACTACAGCATAGAATCAAAAATAAAATTATGTATGTTAGTATTAGCAAACACATTATCAGGTGTCTTAATAAAATCCAGATTAAAGTAGATTAATCCTGTTCTATGGTAATGCACACGTTCTGAGTATTATAGTTTTATTTCTTTTAAATTGCTGACTTATTAGAGAAGTCTCATTCTTAAAGTTAAAAAAAAAGCAGCTTCTAATATTGTAATAAATTTTCATAAAGTTAAGTTTTAGAAAAATGAAGGAAATAGCAAATCTCTTTTGGTTTAGATTAAGTATCTTAAAGGACAACTTGATCATTTATGAACCAAAATTTAAAGGATCTTAGCCCATTAAGCCCCAAATACCACAGATTTTTAGGTTTACTAACAATCTATCACAAGATCACCAAGAATCTAAAGACATTTACAAAAAACAAAATATTCAGATATTTTGTACACAGAAATATAAAAGTACTCATAGGTTATCTTACTTTTTTTTTTTTAATTAACAAAAGAAAAATTACTTTCTTACCTTTAAAGTCTACTTCTCCATTCCCATCTGTGTCAAATATGTCTATTACTCGTTGTACTAACGGATTCTGTTGTAACTCAGGCAAGGACATGAACTCTTCCACACTCAAAGAACCAGAGTTGTCCAAATCAAGCTTCTTAAATCTCTTTCCTAGCCTTTTGATCTCATCAGCATCAACTAAAAACAAACAAATAGGGTAGTAAGATTTACAAAATGATTTTATGATGGTAATCACATCCAGTAAGTTTAATTTCTAATTTAATTAAGTTAAAACATATGGTTGGCTACTTTCTGGTAACTACAGAGAAAGCATATCATAAATATTTTCATTTAATTACCTTTTTGTTTGTGTGAACCTGCCATAACATATGTCTACTGTATGCTAAAGACCAAGATAAGACAGGATTGATAATGCTAAGCTGATCATGGAGGTCACATTGATTCCCAGAAAACAGGCTAACTCATTCTCTGTTCAGAACAAAAGCATCTTGGATACTTTATTTTTAAATAATTCATGGTTTAAAATTTGAGCATGGCTTGAATACTATTCAACATTCAAAGAATGCTCAACTCAAAATGCAAAGTCTCCCTCCCATCCCATCTATCAGATATCCAATTCCCGTCTTTAGAGGTATGTTACTAGTACTTTCCAGAGACAGTCTTTGCCCAAATACATGCAAATAAAACACAGCTTCTACTTTTTGTAAACAGAAAAAGAGAACTTGCAAAATTCACTTTTCAATGCTCCAAAGGGGGGAAAAAATAAACAGCCTAAGAAGAAACGCTTGCATTTATTTCCAAGTATTATATAAAAGTTCCACATCAGATCTCTTACTATATGCACTCTTGAAAAAGATTTAAGTCATTTTCTCCTAAATTACATCACTTTTTAAAATCCTTCATAATAGATCAGATTAATTCACATAAACCATTTTTATCACAAACCAAAAAAAAAAAAAAAACTCACTGCCAACAAGTCAATTCTGACTCATAGTGATCCCCTTTGGGTTTCCGAGGCAGTTAAATCTTTATGGAAGTCGATTGCCCAGTCTTCCTTCTGTGGAGTGGCTGGTGGGTTTGAACTGCCAACCTTTTGGTTAGCAGTCAAATGTCTTAGATACTACGCCACCAGAGGGCCTTTTCCTTCTTTCTTTTTTTTTGGTATCATAGCTTAATAGAAACAATACTTACAGATATTTTTTAAAAAAAGGATTAAATGTAATAGGAAACCACTACATTATTACAGGGAGCTCTGGTAGCGTAGTGGCTAAGGCACTTGACTGCTAACCAGAAAGCTGGCGGTTCAAACCCACTGGCCACTCCTCGGAAGGAAGATGGGGCAATCTACTTTTGTAGTGATACTGCCTCGGAAACCCAAGGCGGGGTCGCTATGAGTCGGGTCTGACGTGGCACATAACACCACCACCACATTATTACAACAAAATTAAGTCAACCACTGTCAACCACTCAGAATGGGATCAGTTCAGAAGATCCTGGATAGAGTAGGAGAAAAATGAGGAACAAACTCAAAGTCATAAAAAAGACCAGGCTTAATACTAGATTATGGCCCCAACTCTCCCTTCAGGCCTAGAACTGAACTCATACCCTGGGCTTCCATCTAAACAACAGACAGGCACATAAGGTGAACATATTCACTAGGTAGGTTTATTCCTTAGAACAATGAATCATGGGAGATCAGAAGGGCAGTACTTGCACAGGGAGATAGCTCAGAGGGCAGGAATGCATAAGGAGGAAGGACACAGGGAAAAGGATAACCACAGGGAGGAACTGGGAAGAGAGCTGTTACATTGTGGAGATTGTAATCAATGTCATAAAAACAAAATGTGTATGAACTGCTGTATGGAAAATTAATTTGCTCTATAAACTATTACCTAAATCACAATTTTTAAAAAAGGAAAACATATTGCAGGCTTTCACATAATTGTAATACAAATAGTTCTTGGATTTCATGTACATGAATGGGAGAAATTTTGCATTGTTTTCTCATTCAGAAAATTTACTTGCAACTTTCCTGTCAGAGTAATACAAGATGTATTTTGAAAACACAAAACTCTCGAATTCATGGACCTGAAAAAAAGAATACGTATATTGTTTTCCATTCAAATAGATAAGGAACTTTGAAAGAAAAAGTGTAAGTTTGTAATATGTAAAATGCCTTTGATTTCATGTACTTGAATAGGAAAAACAGTACATAATTTCCCCATTTAAAGAATGTATTGGGAATTTTCTCATCCTTGTAATGCAAACTTGAATTGGAGATCATGAGAATTCTTCTGACTTCATGTATTTTTATGGGAAAACAGTACATGGTTTTCTCACTCAGAAAATGTACTGCGACTTTCCCATCATTATAACACAAAGTGTACTTTGATAACATAAAATGTCTTAGGTTTCAGATATGTGAATAGGAGAGAGTCTTGTTTTCTAATTCAGAGAATGTGCTATGCACCTTCCCATTCTTGTAACACAAATTGTACACTGAGAATATGTGACATATCTTTGATTGCAAGTACCAGAATGTTACAAAGTCTTGTTTTCTCATTCAGAGAATGAATTGGGAACTTTCACTTCCTTGTTAACACAAAGTATATTTTAATAACATGTACATCTGTTCTGACTTCATTTACCAGAATAGGAGAAACAGTGTATTATTTTCCCCTTCAAAGAGTGTATTGGGAACTCTTCAATACTTGTAACAGAGAGTGTTCTTTGATAATTTGTAAAAATAAATAAATAAGCCAAATGTTATACTGCACATGAGTATATCTGTATTATGGCCCACAACATTAGAGATTGAAATTGCATATTGCTTCAACAATTTGTGTCAACCTCATTTCAAAAAAGTTTTTAAAATATAAAAATATTAATTAAAATTTAATAAGAACTGTATCTACAGCTATAAGATGTTGCTGTATATGAATTGGTTCACATGCAACTGAAAAAGAGAACAGTGGTATCAGTTATGCATGGAAATTTCATGGGGTTAATAATGGGGATTTTTCCCAGAATGTTTTGAAGGGATCAGAAGCTAGTTTTCTCAAATTAAAGAGAAAGTCTTCATAGTATAAGAACACCTTAAGAAAAAAGGTGAAAACAAAAAAAGTCTCTTTCTTCTCCAAGATGAGTTGGAAATACAGTGGCTTCAGGAACTGCTCAACTGTCCAATGTTGCTAAGTCATCTGATAAAATCATCAGATGAGGAAGTTGCAAACTCTGACCCCACCACCACCAAGAACAATTAATAAAGGTGGCTATACTCTGGCTCATTACTTAATTTTCACAAATCTAGTCTTTACTGAAGCAAAAGCACTCAAGAACCAGTATTTCAAAATACAAAGTATAAGCTCCAAGTGACCAACTATGGTGCTGGATACAAATGCCAAAAGTAATATGTGCTTATACTTTTAAGATCATTACAGTTTCTGTTAGTACAGTTACAAAGCTGCATAATGAGTGGTCCTATCAGATACATATTTTCCTCAGACACGATTCTGTGCCTTGTGAGGTTTTTCAAGAACACATATTATAGCAGAAATGCCTACACACTGATTTAATGAGATTCATGTAAACACTGCTTTAAACAATGAAATACATATATACATATAATATACATATATAGTAACACAACCAAAAATTCAAATATACACTTCATGAACGTATCAATTGTATAAGCATTTTACTCATGTATTTTAAAAGCAGAAAAGAGTATTTCTTTTTTATACTAGATTATAAAAAGCAAACTGTTCAAATAAACTTATTTTTCTAAGAAATTAAGATATCCTCACTCTTAGGGGGAATAATAATAACAATAAAATTTAAAGTCCCACAAATGCTGTTTACCAATTTATTCACATGCATCCTGCACTTCAGAACAGAATCCATGACTTTTTCATCATTGTTTTCTACACTTTGCACATAACAGGTACTCAATAACTGTTTTAAGTGAGTATGCAAAGTTTCAGGTTTAAAACATATTATTCAAAATACCATCAGTATTAAGGTTTATATATGGAAGGAAATTTTCTTTGTTGGTTTCCAGGGATGGGAGGGTAGGGAAGAGGGGGAAACTGCTAGATAGGTTTTATATTTATTTATACACACACACACACACACCCCAAAAAAAACAAAAAACGAATATATATAATATATATAATAGTGTTTACCAGGAGTAGGAGGGAGGGGGAAAGGAGAAGCTTTTGTTTGCAAACCAAACCAAACCAAACTCACTGCTGTCTAGTAAGATCCAACTCACAGTGACCCCTCCTTGGGGTTCCAAGGCGGTATCACTATGAAAGTAGATTGCCCCTTCTTTCTTACAAGGAGTGGCTATCATGGGCTTGAACTGCCAGCCTTCCGGTTAGCAGTCAAATACCTTAGGCACTATGCCACCAGGCACTGAGTTTATGCCAACAGTGGTGGAATATTTTGGAAAAGAACAGTAATAATGGTGGAAGAACATGAAAAATGTCATCAACATCCCTGAGCTGTAAATGTGTTAGTTGTTAAGTTAGTGAATGTCTTTGTGTGTATGCTTTCACCACAATAAAAGAAAGAAGGAAAAAAAAAGTAACCATCAATACTTAAAGTAAAACTCTACTTACCTAATCAGGAAACAGTCAGCAAAAACCACTCAAAACAATGTTTCAAAGTTCATAGATTTTAGTGAAGAGTCACCCACTCCATGCTTGCTCTAATTTTAAACTAAAAAAAAAAAAAAAAACCGCACTGCCATCAAACCAATTCCAACTCAAAGCTACCCCACACTGGGTTTCCAAGGCTGTAAATCTTTACAGAAGCAGACTGCCTCATCTTTCTTCTGCAGAGCAGCTGGTGGGTTTGAATCACTAACCTGTGTGGTTAAGCAGCCAAATGCTTTAACCACTGTAATTTTAAAACAAGGATTAGTTAACCATTTTCTTCTATCAATCTTTAGTTTTGTCTTCATTTACAATTATAGACTAGAAAAGGTGATGGGGGAAACCTTGAACATAACAGATTAAGAGTGGAATGTTGTTGTTGTTGTTATGTGCCGTCGAGTCGGCCCCGGCTCATAGCGACCCCTCCTTGGGTTTCCGAGGCAGTATTACTACGGAAGTAGGATTGCCCAACCTTCCTTCCGAGGAGTGGCTGGTGGGTTTGAACCGCCAGCCTTCTGG